GTAGATTATCATCCTAAGTGTGTTTGCGCTGACAGTGATCTCTATCTGAGTCAGTGCAAGGGAGATAATTGGGTTATCAGATAGAGAACAATGCAACTATGTCGTTCCAGTGAGGAGAGAGAGAGAGAGATAGATTATCAGCAGTTTTTTTTTGGTATACAGATACTGTAGTTCCACTGCTGTTTCTTCACATGCATTATGATCCTGTATAGTGTCTTCTGGGCCGTACAGCTTCCCTCAGCACCGGCTCAGCGTTTGCTTATGTTTGGAGTTTTCCCACTCTGCGTTGTCACCATAAATCAGATGATTTATAATCTCAGCCTCGCGGGATTGTAACTTTTGCTTTTGTTATTAGACCACTAGAGTGGATTTGACTGACTGCTCACTTTCCCTTGGTACAGTCCAATGACTTTATTCAAAAGGCAGAACTGTCGGTAGATGCAGCTTCTTGGCAAGGGAAGTGAAAAAATGAACGTCTGAAAAGAAGCGGTGACACATGATCTGTGCTTGCACAGTACATCGATATTATGCAGTATTGCTTTCACGTTAGAGCTTACATCATAAAGAAGAAACTGCTGTTTAAAGTGAATTTTTTGAGTATTGAACAATCAGCATTTGTAGGTTTTGAACAGGGGCTGTAGAGAGTTTGGTCAGCTTGAATTCATGTCATTTTCAATGGACTACAATGGAAAAGTATTAAAACATCCATAAAAAACTTCTCCACTTTCCATCTGTTTTCTCAGTATGTTACAAACACTCATCTCCACGCAAAATATAGCTAAATACACAACTTGCATCTCAATCCTCTATTAAACTCGTTAGCAGGCGTGTGCGTTGGTTTGCGCTTCTTAAAGCCTCCTGCTGACTACAGCCGCCATTTTTCATCAAGGATGAAACTACAAAGATTTTCCAGCCAACTTTAAAGTCTACAGGGGGTGAGTGTTTGATACTTGAAAGACAGATTTTGAGGGGGATATCACTTAGAAGTCATCATGCACTCTAATTCTGCCGTGGTAAACTTAAAGCAGTTGCGGCATTACGTTCGTGTTCCATCAATCTGTGTGATTCATGTTCTCAATGTAAGCTCAGTATGTTAGTTATACAGTAACTATAATTTGATAAATGTCTATACTGTAAATCACTTTGAGCTGGTTCAACTTAAAAAATGAAGTGCAGCACTGCCTTACAAATGTAAAATAACTGAACGCAGGTTCAACATTTAGTTTAAAGTCTTTTCTTTTAGTTGTGTTTATTGAAAAAACACGTCCAATATGTTTAAGATATTAAGTTGAACTGACAACTGTTAGGTCACACTGATGAACATTACAAACAAATTTGATTTGCAGCTGCTGATGTTGGAGCTACTTTGTTTCAGTATTATGGTTCACAATGTTTTCATTATTGTGAAAACAAATGACTTATGACTAATGACAAATGACTAATGACAAATGACTAACATGACTTTTCTCAAATTGTATTAGAGGCACACAGTAAGTTTCCTTTATGTTTTCTATAAAAAATTATAGTGTCAAGAGAGCTTTAAACAAAGCATGCTGGGAAGTCTGCTAATATGCTGATCATGTTTCTTAAGAAGTTAAATGTAATAAGTTGTTTGAACTCTGTACGGTACATTCATTCAACTCATCATCAAAAGTTAGAAAAACTTGTTTAGAAGTTCTTAAGTGGTCTGAAAATAAAAACTAGAAATTTTAATTTTATTAACAGTAAACGTTTATTAAATAAAAAAAACTTGTATATTTACACTGAGTTAATGAGAATAGATTAGTTGATCCCACTACATTCTTATATGAATTTTTACAGTGTTAGTGGGCTGTGATTTTGGCAAGTTAATTTTATGCATCACTCTAACCAGAGTAAGAAAATCTGCATAAAATATTTTATTCTGTGTTTCCACAGTTTTTATCAACACCCATTAAAACATGTCTTTTTCTAATTCTTACTTGAATTTAATGACATGGTTTTAGAACAGTACAATAGTCTCTAGACATTTTCAAGAAAAAGATACATCAATCAAGTGTATTAATATCAGGGCTTCAATTTATCAAACTGCTAAATATGCAATTTGGGATTTAAAGAAAGATAAAAGTGACTTGATGAACTTTTAGAATAAAGGCTATTTATCAAACTTCTTAGCACTTTCAGAGAGCTCAAAGTGGATAAGACAGATCCTAGACGGCTGCATTAGGCAGACATTAGTCATGGTAAATAATATGTTAAATGAAGCAATATGTGTAATTTAGAATGGTTTTAGCCTAATATTAGTGTTTGATTTTAACTGGCTGTATTCCTCAATGTGGCACACTGAATTTATTTTGTTTCCATTATTTAATCTATATTTATTAATCCCTGTTTATATCTTACACAAACAGGATTTTACATAAACAAAATCACAAGATCACATCCAGGTATTGATAAAGTAAATTGTCAATAAATGGCTGTTTATGCTTTGAGCATACATGTGATCACTTGAAAGCTGCTTTTAAACTCTCTGGTGTAAGTAGGAGTAAGTCACTGTCTTGTTTGTCTTATTATTCACTTGCAGACAATAACTTTTTATTTGTAAATTGACTTTTTTGAGCTTACTTGAGTGTAATTCTTAAAAAGTTTGATAAATAAGGGGCCAGTGCTCTGCAATGTCAGAGACATACCAAACTGACAGCATGATTTGCTGCTTTTATTCATTTGTCACATGTCAACGGGGCTTAGATTTGAGTTTTTACTTGGACTACTTCGCCTCTTACTACTGTTTGTCATGTGTTCTTTGTCATTTATTATTCAAATATCTAAATATAATCCCAAAATAATCACTGAAATAAATCTGCTTTTTTCTTTAGTTATTGTTGTCGACATAATTTCCATTACCTTACCAAACAGCATTTCAAGATGAGCTGGTCGCATTCTTAAACACTACAATTAGAAGTGGTAATAACACTGAGAGCAAAAATAATAAAAGGAACAAAACAAAGAAGAAAGGGGAGGAAGAAAGAGAGGAAGAGGAGGCGGAGGTGGAAGAAAAAAGAAGGATATTTTAAGACATGCTCTGCACTCCATCAAGAGCTTGTTAAGCAGAATGCAGTAAAATTTAGAAAGACTATTGGATTCCCATTAAATAAAAGAAAGGAAAAAAAGCTATAAAATTTAATCAGTTACTGCATAGAAGTGTAGAAAACAGGAGAGGAGGTTGGAAACACAGTTGAGTGGAAATATCATGGACATCTGCATCTGCTAATTCTTGACCTAAATAAAATGTAACAGCAGAAAACTAATCAGTTAATAGATGTTAATAGATGTAAATGACAGTTCGGGGGCTTGGATTTTCAAATAATACTACAAATGTGTCCACTTTAAATTTAACGAAATGAACCAGTGTATGATAAATACTTACAAATAATACAAATAATGACCGCTTTGATACAATAAATGACTAAATATCGGAGAAAATAATAACCCCTTATCAGTCTAATTAGTACATCCTGGGGGCACGTGGAGCCTTCTCAATGTGATACAATCAAAACAGCGTTGCAGCTGCATTTTGCAAATTAAGCACCAGGAGAGATGACTGAGGATCTCTGGGATTTCTCTGTGCAAATATTTAACTTCTGTGGTGATGTAGATGTCAGACAACTGGCTTACAAGAGTAAGCTACATTCATTTTACTGAAATGTCTGCAAATGTCTCAATATGATGAGCCAACGACTGTGGAATTAAGGATTCTGGCAAGTGGAATTTATAAAGTTATCTGAAGTTTGGTGGACTATCAATGTGGGTCACGGGAGGTACTTAGAAATGTAGGAATCTGAATGAACAGATAATGAATTGGTTTTCTTGGTAGAAAACGACAAAAAAGGAGCGGCCTGAAATCTCGTAAAAAGAGTGAAAGGCTTTTCTGAGTGCAGGTAGGAAGAGGCCTGTACTCCTCCTTCTGAGTTCTATGGAGGGGCCGCAGCTTGAAAGTCTTGGCATCACTAGAAGAGGAGGATCAATTCTCTGGAGTTAAAAGTGCAGCAGCACTGCTGTCTATGCAAAGACAGTGATGATGCACGATCCTCTTGACCTTCACACTTCCTGTTGTGTTGTTTGGCAAGTTTACTTTTAAGCTCTCTGTCCCTCAGTGGCTTGGCAAGGGTTTAAAGGCACTCCTCATTCAGATACACACCACCCTTTGTGGGAACAATATGGATGTTTTTTGTGGAGAGTCATAGACGCAGCAGAAAAACTGAAATATGATCACATAAAGGGGAACATCCATACTTTAGATTGGGTGGAGACATTGTAATTCCTCAGCTCAAGATCGTCTTCAGTTGCCTTAACTGAGACCTTGAGCTACAAATTTTGCTGCAAGACATTTTAGCTGAAATTACATTTTTGACAATGTCTGTGCAAGGCAGCATTACCAAATGGGCAAAGTAGGCAACTGCCCCAAAGGCCCCATGTTCACTGTGTGGCAATTACTTTGTATTAATTTGACTAATTGCAATTTTTTGAGGGGAAATATGCACCATCAAAACATATTATACACTGAAATAATAAGGGCATTAAGGTGGCTCCTGTTCTTTTAACCAATCTTTAGGCTCTGTGTCAAGATGTAACTTCAATTCCATTATTACATCAATTTATAATATGTTTTAGAATATTGTGTTCACTGAAATTACCACTAAGTAACATTACACTACCACTAAGTAAAATTGGAGTGCTTTTTGGTTTTAGGGGTTCTGGGTAGAATAAAATGAAGATGTGTAGTCTGTGTGTGCTCTGTACCAGACGGGTACTTAATTGCAACAGGATACAGACACATGAGCACAAACAGCAGGGGTACCTGGGAGATGGGGTCCAAAGCTTTGCCCCAGGGCCCCTGAGTAGGTTAATCTTTCCGAGAGTCTGTGACTTGTTTATAAATATATAGTATTTATATCTAAAGGCTGCTATCTTTAGATTAATTCTCAAACCCTGACTGATGTTTTACTGTCTCTCTCTTTTAGGAGAACCCATACCTGTGTAGTGACGAGTGTGACGCCTCTAACCCAGACTTGGCCCACCCTCCTCAGCTGATGCAGGACCGTGAACGTAATGGCCTAATCACCTACTGGCAGACAGTCACATGGAGACGCCACCCAGAACCACTGCTGGCCAACATCACCATGTCCTGGAACAAGAGTCTGGAACTCACAGACGACATCCAGATCACCTTTGAGTATGGCCGTCCTACTATCATGGTAATGGATAAGTCCATGGACCATGGACGCTCCTGGCAGCCTTACCAGTTCTACGCTGATGACTGCATGGACGCATTCAACATGCCACCCAAACGTGTGCGTGACCTTTCACCCGCCAACATCACACGGGTCATCTGCACCGAGCAGTACTCGCGCTGGGTCGGCTCCAAGAACGACAAGAACGTGAAGTTCGAGGTGCGGGCGCGCTTTGCTGTGTTTGCAGGACCACGGCTACAGAACATGGACAGCCTGTACACTCGTATGGAAAGTATGAAGGGATTGAGGGACTTCTTCACCTTCACCAACCTTAGGTTGAGGCTTCTCAGGCCTGCCCTCGGAGGCACCTATGTCCAGAGAGACAACCTACTCAAGTACTTCTATGCCATCTCCAACATCGAGGTACCTGCCAGGTGAGGGTCAATGATGACTTTATTAGGGATCAACATTTTTAACTAAATGCCTTTATACATGTTCTTTCCTTTTAACATAAAAACAGAATTCACTTGGAACAAAACTACCACACATTTACAAAATGAGAGTTAAATGGTAATAATGTTGCGTAAAACTCTTTTTATTTTTTATTCATTTTGGCAGCCAAATTCAGAAATTTAGGACAAAATTTTCACACTACGACTGCTACTATGACCACAAACCAAACACTCAAAACACGTCATGAAATGACACGGAATACACTGACTGGCGAGACATTGTGTAAGCGCCCTTTTTGCAAGTGTAGGGAAAAAAACACACACACACACACACACTCAACAAGCAAAGAAGAAAACCTTGCGGAGGTGTGAAAGCTTGTGAGTTGTTTTGCTGCATTTTCAAAAACAGATAAAGGATGCAAGTTGATGATGTGCCTCTGCCCTCTATACTTTTTTGTATTTACGTCATAGCGCTACTTTTCACCACCAAACATTCATCACACAATCCGACATGCTTTAAATTCTGACACAGATTTTATTAAACCCATCTTACACAGTGTGACATGCAATAAACTCACACGATCCTTGTTGTTGCGCAATCTTCTAAAGTAAAATGTTCCCCACCATGGTCTGGTGTATAAGTTAAAGCCTTTTCACAGGGACTATTTCTTCAGCAGGATGTAGATTTAGCAAAAACTATTAACAGTTTTCAAATGTCATATTTCAGAGCTTTAGAAACAAAATCCCATTCACCCATCGTATTGGGATAGCAGCAGAAATGGATCTGAAAACATCTGCACATAAAACTGCACAGCACATAAATAGGTGCTTCTGGGTGTAAGTGGAAATGAGTGAACTGACCCCTTTCTCTCTGTTAAAATGCCTATTTACACACTGAACAGTTTGTTCATAGACATCACGTCCCACAGCAATATCAGCTGTTGAAATTACACCAGTTAAAACAAATCAATAATAAAATATATGTTTAGCAGATCATACTTTTAATGATAAAGCAATGGCCATATTGTTGAATATCTTTTCTCAAACGTAGCATATAAAAGAAAACCACCTGGTGATGACCGTAGCCTCTGGTCTGACATCCATGCACACACATTCACAGACTGATCTGAGGGTGTTTAAAATGACCCTATCTCTCTCAACATGAATCCTGGTCTGCCTGTCACCGGCCCCTGAGGACAATGATTAATGACAGAAACACATGGCCTCGGTGGTCTAACGTAAACCGCCATCCACATTCTGCCGGGGAGCAGGGAACCCTTACATGGCAACTTTGTGACAGTGAAGGATGCTTGGGCCATCACGCGCCTGCTTAGCATCAACAAGCCATCTCTCCTACCTTTCAGAATTATCATTCCAATCAATACGGCAGGCTGACATTTGAATGGTATTTAACATCCTTGTTGGGATGGCGTGGAATGGGAGGAAGGAGGTGTTGTGTGTGTGTGTGTGTGTGTGTGTGAAAGTGGTGGTGGGTGAGAACGGGAAAGTGAAAATGAGCGACTGTTTGAGGGGTGTTGGCTGATGTGGGCATTTTATGTGTATGTGTAGTTGAGGTATTGGGGGTGTTTGATGAAGTCCTGAGTGGATGCTGACACAGCACACACATGCACACACACACACACACACACACACACACACACACACACACACACACACACACACACACACACACACACACACACAGCCCTCTGGCACTGTGGAAAGGGCCTGCAGGTATTGATCACAGCCACTTTTCAGGCTCAGCATAGAATCAGAGAGAGAGAGAGAGAGAGATCAGCCCAATACCCTGGGGGTGAAACAGTCCATCACTATCCCAGAACCTCCACCATATCCAGTGAATTTAATAATCAAACATCCCTGTTTTGAAATATTTGTGCTTATTTCTTTATTTAGTAGTCCACAAGTGCACCACATCTAAGAATTTATCATCCGTCTCGCGTTCCCCGCTGTGCCGCTTTGCTTTAAACACCCCCTACACTGTAAGCTTTCAAACATTTCTCTTCATATTTATACTTCCAGAACATTTTCTTAATCTTTCTCTTCGTCCAGATCTAAAACATTTCTCTTCATATTTACACTTCCAGAACACTTTCTTAATTTCTCTCTTCGTTCAGAGAGCAGGGCTGGTGGCTGGTGACAGCTGGCGATAGTGTCAGTATGTGCTGGATCTGGTAACAGAGGACCCAAATTTAGCCCTGTGGAGATGACTGAGGCCAGTCCGTCTTCCGCCCCGGCCACCCACACCTCCCGTAACATAATCACTAATCAATAAGTTATTCTGGGCAGCCAGCAGGAGTATTAGGTGATAGTGGTGGGGGGTCTTCAACAGTACAGTACAATCAGGAGTGTCTGATGCTTACGGCTGGGAAATTGATTTTGGGGAGCGAGACGATTAGTCAATGTTCCCTGGACAAAAGGCTAAGCTATTTCATCTCATCTCATCTGGCCTTAGTAACATATTGGGATTTCCAATGCTTAAAATTTGAATAATGAATATTCCGCTCCGCTGGTGCTCTGGCGGGGACGGCGCACTGAAATGGGTTTTATATGATCAAGACCGAGTGGCAGTGTACAGCAGGTCGCCACGGTAATGAGATATGCTGGTGTTATCGATGGATAGAGGGTTGTAGTCACTTCCTGGCCGTATTGTATGTCCCCGGGCCTCTAGCTGTGGCTCTCTTGCTGAACCCAGTTAAAAGTAATTATTATTAGTTAACTGTTCTTAATGACCTGAGTTGAGCCAGGACGCAGACAGCAAAACAAGCCCTTTTCCCATCAACCAGTGTAAGATGTTACCTCTATGGGACGTGTCTCTTTTATCTGACGCTGCATTGTCAGAGTGACTGGCCGGCCTCGAAAGAGCTGGGCGCAGGTATGCGGGAAGGCAGGTACTCAGGGCTAAATAGTGCTGCTTTATCAATAAATACGTAACCCGATAGGCCATTAAGTGCAAACGCAGGGAAGTTAGATTTGATGGGAGGGGGGTTGTAAATTTAGATGTGTGGACGCAATGACAACACTCAGCAAACTGGATCTTGAGCAAGTTGTGAGAGGGCATTTAGGGCGGAGGGCAGCCAGAGGTGGAGCAAGGATTTTAAAGCAGGCAAAGAGGGGAGAAGGTCAAACAGAGGGAGTGGAGTGGAGGCAAAGTCAAATTGGATAGAGTCGATAGAATATTATTATATGATTCAGCATCACTCACTTTGTGTTGCAAAGTTCTCCCAAGGTTAACTGTAATGAGCTACAGTAGTGACTACAATATAAACTCGAAGCCAAGGTGTTTTGGGTTTTGAAAGCCTCAGGCTTTATGCTCATTTTACAGGCTATATTCAACCCTTAGATGTGGCCATTTCCATATCACTGATGGGCCATGTGAAAGCCATCTCCAACCATCAAAGATAGAGTAGCAAGGCTTCAACTCTATCATCATTTACATCAGTGAAATCATATTCACCGGGAAGCTTTACTCATAAGCGGAGCTCTCAAATTCCCTCCTCATTCATTGGCGCGCCATCTCTCCATCCCTGTTCTCTCTGTCCCATCTGTCAGCCTCCCTGCTGGACTGTTGTGTGGACTATAGCGGGCTGTGGCCAGACTGTAGTCTGCATTATGGATTAGACGTGGGGTCATGGATTGGGCCTTTTTTAATGAAATAAGCAGCAGGTCGTACGTTGGGTCTTTATAATGGAATAAAGGAAAGGCTGTAAGCTCAGGAAGAGCTAACTAAGTGGATTAGGGCCAAGACAGAAAGGAGGAGACGGAGCAGGATGAGGAGGAAGACGAAGTCTGCATCGTTTTTCTCTCCTCGCTGGCAATCGCTGCAGCATCGGGCCCTCTTCTCCCCGACTTCTCAATTTGGTTTGATTGGCTGATGGGGGAAGAATGACATTTAAGAGAAGCCAAGTATGCAGTATCTTATTCCCCTACGTCAGTCAGCTGAGCAAGTGAGGAAAGGAAAAGTTAAGCACATGTACAACATGATTGTCATGCAACTAGCGAAAGGAAATTCACATTTTGACGAATAATTGTGCCCACAGAATGTATAAATCTAAAAATTCAACCAAACTTTTTTACAAAAATGACCCCTTATTGGCATTTAAAGAAACAAATTTCTTTTTATTAAACTACTGAACACATCATTGCTGATGATGGTGATATTTCTTGAGGAATAAAGAACCGATGAATGGATTACGATCATGCACAATCTAAATTATTGTAAGTAAATTGTAACAAGAGTCTACAGCCACCCAAGCAGCTCTGTATAGGCTGTATGTTGTATGGTTCATTGAGCTTAAAGTTAATGTCAGCATGCTAACATCCTCACAATGACAATGCTAACATGCTGATGTTTAGCAGATATAGTGTTTACCATGGTCACCATTAGTGCTGTGTAATATAACCAAAATCTCATAACCGATAAAGGTAATTTCATATCCAGATAATGATACATATCAAAACATAGCACATTTTCTGTAAATTCAGTGAATAGTTTATTTAAAATTATTACATTTTGAATTATATACTTATACTATATATAATAAAAAGTAGTTGTTCATATTTGATTATCTGTCTCCTTTTATTTAGAAACTTTCCACAAATTTCCAATTAAGCATGTGACAAAATATAAAATATTAATGTATAATATATAAAAAGGTATGGTTTTCTGGTCCGTGTCAGACTTTAAACCAACGGCTCTGCGACAGAAGTAGCTCTTCCTTTTAGGGACGTTAGTATGTATTTTCTTGGTTGCTCAGAGTCCTTCTCCAGTTATATTTCAGTCTGAATCACAGTGTCTGACTGACACACCAACATTGCCACCCCTACAGCCGCAAGCCTGGTTAAAAATGAATTAAGAATAGTAATAATATTAATAACCCTACTACTGCTACTAGCAGTACACAAGGTGTAATGATTTAGTTATGTAGACTTCAATCCCTAATTACATCTGATAGGCCCAGTCT